GATATGGGGGCGTAGTTTTTCTGAACACATCATACGTCTTTATGTGTGAATGTCACATCCACAGACTCCTTGAATACTCCCTTCTCCTTCAGTAGTAGACACATACTGAGTCTGTTCTTAAGTTTGAAAGTCCAGAATGGTGAACTCATTTCCTACAAAACCAAGCTTAATCTGTGTCAAAGAAACTGACCTACTGTGACTCACTAGAGTCTGTGAAATACTTTCTTGTGAATGGTTATGTCTGACTTTAGCCTTTTACCTGTAGCTGTTGAAAAGGTTAGAATCCAGCCTGAGAGAGCAGAGCTTTATTATGGGGCTCCGAGGAGCTCCGTGACCAACAAAATTTATGACTTGTTGTTGGCGCCAGCTTGTCAACAGGGTGCTAAAAAACACAGTGGTTAAGAGCTCACAGCAGCGTGGCCTGTTGGAGCACTCGGCTTGAGGGAGTGCCGAGCAGGAGAAGGAGAGAAAAAAGAGGAAAGAAAGTAATCAGAAAGTGAAGGCATTTATTACTACTGCAGAATGTTTGGCTTTTAACTGACTCTCCTCTGGCAGACTTCCAATCCTGAAGCCATTTCTCTTCTGTGCTTTCCCTCAGCCTTCATTCAGTCCGGCAATATGTCTCAACCCCGCTGCCCTGAAGTTCTGGCAAACTCCAACTTTTCTTCTCCTCCTGAGTTGAGGTCATTAAAGGATCTGACTGAGTCATCATACAGCTGTCTCCTGCCTTTTCCTTTTCTTACAGCTGTATGTTATGGGTTTGGGCTGACAATTCCTTCTCTCTTCAGGCTTAGGTTTATAGGACCAGCAAGAAGCCATCCAGCCTCCAAACCGCTTTTAAGGCCCAGGGACAGGATTAATGGGCACAGCCTGGTAGCTTTTCTCAACTAGTTTCCTATAAATCCTAAGCAAAAAAAGAAACAGCTTCTGACAATTCCTTGTAATCCTCACAGATACCACTCCATGATGGAGAACTTGTAAAGGTCAAAGCTTGTAAAGACCAAAAATCCAGTAATAGTTTTATATCCTTTTCTAACCATTAGTCTATCATAGCAAATCAAGATCAGTAGAGCAAGAATGATCAAGTGATATTTCTTGGTTGGAAATACAATCACTGTAATTAACAGTAGTATTCTGCCACCCTTATACGCCCTGCGTAAGTCAGCAGATAGACAACTCCTCTCCCAATCACCACGCTGAAGAGGAAGCCCAGTTCGTCTCTTTTAGTGGTTGACTGGAAGTAGGGTAAAACTACAAGAAAATACATCACCAGGGTATGAGTACTAACGTGAGAACACAAATTGCTATACAATGACACTAATCCACTGCCATGCTATTTTATGCCTTCCGTTGTTTAAATAAACAAGAATTTTAGCTGGAGACAATGGATTACTGCATACATTCTGATATACTAAGAGCTGGAACATGCCATTAACAGTGCATGAAATACCATCAAATGTTGCTAAGGATTATGATACATGGAACACCATGAGGCTCATCACTCATTTTCTGCAAGTATACTTCCTGAACTGTGATACGAAGCCGATGACATCATCGTCAAAGTCTTTTGAAGAATCCACTCCATACATACACTGACTGCACAAGTAGCAATGTAAAAAATGCACAGCAATTACTGATGTCTTGCAGGTTTAAACTTCACTAAGTTGCATTTTTTATTCAGTATTGTCAAAAATCAGAGACCACCATTTGTTTATTGAAGTTCCAGTCAATACAAACATTAGGTCATAGATTTTTAGCGGCAGGGGAAAAGCAGGAAATGTATTTAAAAGAATATTACACAGAAGCCTCAACATCTAATTTTAATATCCTTCCACATTTTTCACTCCTCCAAAGTTCAGTCTTAGAAGTTGGTTTCAAACTCATAACGTTAGCTTGTCTTCTCACAGTTGAAAGATGCACAGAAACGCCAGTGAGTTCTTTCGGATCTGAAGCAAGATTGATTTTCTCCTAAGATAAAAGCTTTAAGTGCTGTTCATTTGAAGGTGGCATTTTTGGTGGTCTACCAGGCCTGACCCGGTTGTTAGGTCTATGTCTTCTCATATTTTATTCATTTGTTTTCCCTTTGACTTTCCCCCTCCTTATGCAAGTAGATTATCCTGTGTGTAATCTACTCAGAAATATCTCCTAAAAAACGAATAACTGGTCCTTAAAGGCCTTTTTGACTGGAAATCAAATAACTGAGGGGTAAATGAGTTCAGCTTATCGCCATAAGCAAGAATTTGCCTTTGGCTACTTGATAAGCACCCGATCAACCAGATGCCTTGTTTATAATGATGAGGGCATGATTTGCTGTTAAAGGGATGGTGATAACTATTTGCTTCCCATCTTTCTTTTTTAAAAGGCCTATAAAAAGGACAGTGCTTTTATAGCCCTCCGTATCCCTTTAAAACATCCATTAAGCCCGCAGAGAGTAGATGAGATTTATCACATTCTGTCAGTCGCCATGCCACATTGTTTTATGTGTTAGTTTATTTCCACCTCGTGTACTGTTTAAAATTTAACAAGGCATGTTTTGTGGCTTTGTGCGCGATGTAGTGAGCTATCAGGAAACCACATTGAATTATACAGCAGTGCAGTTTGTGTCACTTGGAATCTTGCTGGAGTGCACTTACAGTATTCACATACACACACAGGCAAATACACTGCAAACTCTATTCCACTACTTTCATACCTATTTATGATGAAATACTGAGTCTTCACCCAGTGCTAAGTAATGTTTATGGCTATTTTTAAAACAGTTGAGCAGTCAGAATGGAGAGATGGAGGGCTAGTGCAGCTTTTTTTCTGCTGCCGCAGCCCTTTTTTCCACAGGAGAGAGAGGTAGGTCAGAGAGGAGCTAAACATTTGCCTTTGCCCTCTAGCCCAAATGTACAAAACATCTCTCTCTCTCTCTCTCTCTCTATCTCTCTCTCTCTCTCTCTCAGTGGCCACTCCGAGGGCTCTAAACTGCAGACGGCCACACACCTTTCACAGGCCAGGCTTTTAATTTCCCTCCGAGGGTCAGCTGGCACATGGCTGAGAGAAGCTGTGGCCTGCCAGTGCCCCTAGGCTCTGTTTGCGTGTCCGGCGGTCCTCTGTAAGACCAGCCCACCACTGTTCACTGCTCAAACTGTCAAATCAGCATTCCCTTCGAGCTGCTGTGTTTTCACAGTCTTAAGAGCTTACATGGTTGGCTAACTCTCACTGCCACTGGTTCATGGGAGCGGATTTCTCCACTGTAATTAATGAGACCAGCACCTACTTCTCGCTTAAATGGGTTTTGCTTGCAGGTCAGTGCCCTGAGGGCTTGCCTCTCTGCTCCTGGTAACTGGGGCTAATTGGGCCTTCTGAACCACATTGATATCATTATTCCCTTTCTTCCACAAGATGGCCTTAATTGGCAGGAACCTTCCATTTTCTCAATTATTCCTTACACATGTTAACTGCCAGAGAAACACAAGGGTCAGTGTAAACAACAGTGGTTGATGGCGCAGCTCAAATCGACTGGTTAATCTATAGTGCAGTGTTTCTTCTGCTAAGTGCAGCCACAGCATGACTCTAAGTACCTGAAAGAATGAGAATATTGTTGTGAAAATCAGTTCAACCTCTCTCTCTCTCTCTCTCTATATATATATATATATTTATAGTGCATATAAGTTTAAATAATTCTTCTGCCTTATTTCATCAATAGTCAGGTTGTGGAATGTTTGTGTCCATTATTGCTTTCAGGGTTTGATACACTGATCCTATGCACTAGATCAATGTCAGCAACGTTACTGATTTGTAAGAAGCTACTTATGTACTTCTTCATGGAACTGCATCAGAGCTTTCTAGTACATTCAGTACATATTCTGACACCGGTGTAACAGAATTAAATTCGGTTAAATATCAAAAGGTATGTGTACCTAAATGTGAGCACTAAAATGTAAGCAAGTAAAAACTTTTTTATATAAAAAAAAATGTTATTGTGCTTAAATGGTATTTTTGTACAATATCAAGAAGCAGTTTCATTCCGTTGGTCCACATCTTTGTGGAGAGGTGTGAAATGCAGGGGGCTGTGACCCCTCCAATTTCAACCCTTATTGTTCTCTTGCAGCTCAATACATATCACACAAAGAGAGCTATCAGTGTCCTAGTTAATTTGATAAAAGTGCTATAAGGAAACATTTTATTTGATTAAATGTATTAAAAACATCCACGTCAAATGGCCACTGGGGCCTGCAGACGGCTACGCAAGTGGACATGAGTAAGTGTAACTAGTTATAGTTTCACAGACATATTGATTTTAATATGAAGGAGAAAAAAAACATCCACTCTTTCATGCTGAAGCAAATGACCCAAGGACTGACCTGAGAGGTTCAAGGGAGAGAAGCTGGAGAATCTACTATATTTGCAAGATGTAGAATAGCAATAATTACTCATAGCCAGATTCCACTCCCCCAGCCCGCAGAGTTCGTACTCCAGTCAGAGTTCCCCTTTCAGTCGTGTTCGTTCTTGGCACTGTAAGCTGTATCAACACTGTGTGTTTTCCTCAACCTCAAGGTTGGAGCGCCAGCCACCCAGCTCAAACAAACCCAGCTGCTTGTGCCAGAAATAAGAGTCTTTGAGGCTAAAGGGGCAGCTTGGGGGGCAGCCGGTGCATGAGGGCTTCCCACCATGCTGCCTTGCATTCCTGCACCACACACACCTCTCATGGCTTAACTTCATTAGTGGGTTTAAATATAATTACACTTCATTAAGCCTGTGTTTTTTCACCAGCTTACAAATACTTGATCTCCATTTTAATGCATCGTGTCAGATGGATATGGGAGGATTATATCAAGATTTGTTCAACTCTCCCTGGAAAGACATCCATGTTGGGTGTCACTTCATTTGGGGCTGACTGTGAACTTACATGTAGTTTAATAATAATAGTTTAGCTGGATGGAATTGCCCCATTTACCTCATTTCTCCCTCTCCCTCTTTGCTTCTTTTTCACTCTGTGTCTGTTTCTGTTCCAGGATGTGTTTAGATGCCAGAGACCCATACTGTGGCTGGGACAAGAAGCAACGTCGCTGCACCACCATTGAGGACAGCTCCAACATGAGCCAGTGGTTTCAGAACATCACGGCCTGCCCGGTCAGTCATGTTTGGCCTTATTATTCAAGTAGGAACTTTAGTTGGCTCGTGGTGTAAAAACAAATATACATACACCGGAAAAAATATGCATAGAATGCATAGAATAATTCTACAAGTTCATCATTTTAATTAAAAAAGGGTATATAAATACCCTTTCCCTACCCCACTAACTGGTTTTCAGCCACCCTCATACTTAAATTAAATTATCTCAAAGTCCCAATGCAAAGCATCAGCTAGGAGATTATGAAAACCCTTTCTGTTGCACTGTGGAGGAGTGGAATCATGGTCTTTGGAGTGATGAAACACCTTTGGGATGAATTAGAGCCCTATTTATGAACCAGACCTAATCGGTCCACAGACCTTACTGTGCTTGTGTGTCTAAAGGGAATCAAATCCCCACAGCAATGTTCTAACATCTAGTGGGAAGATTTCCCAGAAGAGCTGTTACTGCAGCATAGGGGGTCTAATTCCTTATTATGCTCTGGATTTTGAAAGAAATGTTGGATGAGTGCAAGTATCTGTGACTTTTGGACACTGGGCATTTTTCCGCCCAGTGCAGTACAGCACAGTACAGTTACTAATTTAAAAGTTGGCAGGGTTCTCTGGAAATTGTTTGGTGGTCACATGATGTCTCACAGTAAACAGAACTTCGCTGTTTCATTTTTAATTTTTTACATTTTTTTTTACAGAAGCTGAAAATGCCAGCTGTCCTTTACAGTGTATTAAAATTTCATGATGAGTGGAACAACAGAAATACCAAAAACTACTTGTACAAAATTGTTCATTAGTTTCTATCAAAGTTTTTACATTTTTTATTAACTTCTATTCAAAGTCTTTCTCCTGTAAACCATTTTTTTCTTTTTCCTCTAAACCATTTATACAATGTTTACCATTTTGGAGATGGTTTTGTCACAACAGCAACAAAAAACAGCAGTATCAACACTGCACATTTCCTTATGAGGCATGTAGCACCTGGCACATTTCCAAGAGCACACTCCTGACATGTACACTATCGCTCAGAAGACTGGAATTGATGTTTTCAAAAGTGTAAAACCAAGTTGCAGATACATGCATAAAATGCTCATCCCTTGCAGTTTCAAAGATTTCAATTAATTAGTAAGAAGCAATGAATCTGTGAAAATAATTTTGTGTAATTTGTGCTAAACATATTCTAGGTAACTCTAATGACAGTTAACAGTTATGGTAATATGACACTGTGTGACAAGTCAACAGAAACCAGATGCTTGCGGATGTAAAGATGATGGCGGTTTAATAAAAAACAGCAAAACAGAATCAAAAGGGCAGAGCAAAAGTCGTCGTCGTGAAACAGGCCAAAAGGTTAAAAAAACACAGATCAGTCAGTAGTGGCAAAAGTACCAAAAGGACGAAGCAAAAGTCAAAAATGGGATAAACAAGGCAGTGGTCAAAACCACGGAATACAGGCAATCAGATAAACAACGCTCAGTAGGTTTCAGGGAAACAGTACCTCACAAAGAAACTAACTAAAGGCTTATGTACTACTAGCTTCCTGTCAAATGACAGCACACACAGGTGAAAGCAGTTAGACTAGTTTTCAAATGCCTGTTGTCTGACATGAGTGATGAATTAAGAAGATTCTGTGGTGATTGTGTTTGACCAATCAGTGATCAACATTGATCATGTGAGTACTAACACACACAGAAGAGAATGCGACTGAGAAAGGCAGCAAAGCCCAAAGCCCCCTAAATGCCACTCTTACTTCTTCTCCTTCTCTTCCTCCTTGGTGTGTGGCTTGCGCTCCTCACTTCTCCGAGGACTCATCGTGCAGTTTAGCAGCTGCTGAGGCGTGAAGGGTGGCACGCCACATGATTGATGACATCATCTGAGCCAGCTGTTCTCAGTAGCCTCTGTTTCTCAAAGTCAATTAGTTTTGGTTGAAGTTGCCCTTTCATGGTCATCTGCAGGCAGGTCTGCCGAGTCTCTGATGCTGGTTCGAGGGAAACTGGCTGTAGATCAGCGTGAAAGTGCAGCCATGCTTGCAGAGCAAATCGGGCCTCCTTGCCTCTTTTACACATACATTTTGTTTTTTATTCCAGCTGCGAAACCAAACCTCGGATGGTGCCTACGGTCCCTGGGCCCCGTGGCAACCTTGCAGCCATGACGATGGCGACGGCATCAGTGCTTGCTTGTGTCGTTCAAGGGCATGTGACAGCCCTCCTCCCAGGTGTGGGGGCAAAAACTGTGAGGGTCCTACAATTGAAGTGGCCAACTGCTCAAGGTAACTGCAGTTTTACTTCACTGTGTTTACCACTGAAGTGTATTTCAGCCACAACATACAGTGAGCATTTCAGTTTGTTAAGATTTTATTTGAATTGTGAACTATTTGTAACCCTATCATTCACCTTAACCCAAAATCATAACCCCTTAATCTAATACATGAGTTTAACTCTAATGCTTTTGAGAATCACCACATAGTCTGTTACCATCTGTTGGTAAGTAGACTGTAGAATTCTTTTCTCTTACAGACACTAAATTACACAGTCATTTAGAGTTAACTAGATAATCTATAACTGACAACCAGGATAAAGATTGTCCTTTAAGAAGGCTAGACAGTTTTTATACAGAGGAATTGCCTTACTATCCAGCTCCATGCAGTGACATAGGCTTTTTTTTATGTGAGAGAAATTTTGCAAGATTTCATCTGTGGCACCTTAGTGATCCTCTCTATGTTTTGCTATAGGAATGGGGGCTGGACACCATGGTCATCATGGGGCCAGTGCAGTACCAGCTGTGAGATTGGCTTTGAGGTGCGCCAGCGATCCTGCAACAACCCCTCGCCCAGACACGGCGGCCGAGTGTGTGTGGGCCAAGCCAGAGAGCAGAGGTGAGAGACGGAGATCATAGAGTTCTCTCGCCCAGCATGCCACATACTCATCCACACCTTCACTTTCAGACAGCGTGTGAAGGCAGTGAGACTGCTGGAATAAGACATTCTTCTGATGTTTGACACTTGATTGCATGAAATGATGTAACTGCAAAATCTTGAATTACCCCTGATCTTTTTTCCCCGCATATCTCAGCAGTCAGTTGGTTTTCTTTGATGTCGAAGTGCTGTCTGAAGGCTTATTTCTTTGCACTGATTGTTCTGTGTCCTGTTTTATGTTTTGAGGAATGAGGGCACAGTGATGAGTGTCTCTGCATGAGAATAACCTGAGCCTCCTTTTTTCCCTTCAGACTCTGTAATGAGAAGGTGTCATGTCCTCAGCCCATTTTCTGGTCCTTGTGGTCACCCTGGTCCAAGTGCAGTGCTGAGTGTGGAGGAGGAGTGCACTCTCGCTCCAGGAACTGTGAGAATGGAAACAGCTGTCCAGGCTGCGCACTGGTGCGTTATCCTGTCTTTCCTTCTTTCTCTCTTTCTCTCTCTCTCTCTCTCTCTCTCTCTCTCTCTCTCTCTCTCTCTGTCCCCTAGGGTTTAGCTTGCTCAGTCTCTGTGCGTACATGATAACCCAGCGGCTCCACTCTCAGGGGAGCTTGTCTGATCTTAGAGTGGACCTCAACACCGGACACACTCAATCCCCTGACACATTGAGTAGAAGTAACACTGCACATTTCTTTATGAGGCATACAGCACCTGGCTCATTTTCAAGAGCATGCTGGAATCGTGACGTGTATTGTTGCTTAAAAGACTGGAATCAGTGTTTTCATGTTGCAGATACATGTATAAGATGCTTCTAAAATTGACATAAACATGCCATAGCAGATATCATATGCTGTCAAGAATTGTCATGACAGATTTTGTCCAGTAATATAACAGTGTTATGTTATCATTACTGATAATTGTCATGACGGATACTGTAATATTTGATGTCTGGACAGCTTATGTCACATACTATCCTAGGTAACAGTTATGGTAATATGATACCTTTACATTACTGAACATAATCTGTCATAACAACCCATGACAGGTTATGATATATGCCATGATGTGTTTATGGCATGAATATGACAGTAATATGTAGCAAGTTTCAAGTAAAGTCTTACCATAAAATTAATATCCACAATGTTCCAACATCAAGTGAAGAGATTTCCCAGAAGAGTAGAGGCTGTTACTGCAACAAAGGAGGTCTAATTCCTTATTAATTGATATTATTTGCCAGAAATATCAGATGATCGCAGGTATCTGGATACTTTTGGACATTAGGCATTTTTAGGCAGTACAGTTCTTAATCTGAACCAAAAACCACTGTCCAGTTCTCTGGAAGTTGTGTGGTGGTCACATGATTTTTCATGTAATGTTCACAGTAAACACAAACAACAGTAGCGACAATGAAAGAGATTTGAGTTCTCATTTTGTTTTTACTTGGCATTTTGTCACAGACAGAAATTCTGGCTAGCTACTGATTTTTGAAGTAATGTATAAGATAATTAGAATATTGTTGGTTCTGTGCAACTTCACAAGCTTCAAATTATTACTAGGAGGCAATGAAGCTGTAAAAAAGCAAGTTTTGATGTGTCCCAAATGATGAATTAAGATGGAGATAATAGTAATATGCCTGAGCAATTTTTATAAAATCAAGAAAGTGCAGATGGTGTAGTGTGTAATATTTGAAAAAAAAAAATTCAAAGGCAGATAACTTGGCAAGCAGTTAGTAATAAATCATGAATAAATAATGTTTATTATTAATACGTTATTGTTATAATAACAAAAATAATAATAATTATCATTATTATATTTTGTACATTATTATCAGTAGCTTTTTGAGTCTAGTTTATAATGTTTCACTCTGCGTTATATAAGTTATTATTGTGTATAACATCACATAAATTATTAATCTGACATTCATTTGCAGCATTTGAACTGTAGTGTACCTGCATTCCTCCAGGGGTGTACTGTACACAGAACATGAAGAGGAATGCCACAGCAATCGGCTGCACAGAGTAATTAATCATGTGGTGGAAAAGGTGCTTGCTATGCAGTTGTACTTTATTTACAGTGTGACTGATTCAGGCTCCCCGTTTTTCTCTCTGTGTGCTCTCAGCCTGTCTCAAGAGTGAGCAATTAATTCAGATCTAATTGACTCTATTAAAACTCAAATCAAGTTTCCTCGCAAAGGAGCTGAAACACCTCCCTGGAGTGCATGGAAATGAGCCGTCAAGCTGTATCCGTTGCTAAAGATGACACAGCAATGCTGAGCCACTTCCTGTACAGTATTTGCCATAAAGCTAAGTGGCTGTCCTGTGCAGGCAAGATGAATGAGCTGAGTGATTTTTGCACTTTGGATATTATTACTCACTCTCCTTTCTCTCTCCTTGTGCAGGAATATCAGACCTGTAATCTAGAGTCCTGTCCTGAGGTGAGGAGGAACACGCCATGGACTCCGTGGGTGCCAGTGAACGTGACACAGGGCGGAGCACGACAGGAGCAGAGGGTGCGTTACATCTGCCGGGCACAGCTGGCTGACCCGCACGAACTGCAGCTGGGCAAACGCAAGGTGGAGACACGCTTCTGCCCCAATGACGGGACAGTCACCTGCGAAACGGACTGTGAGTGCAATCTCGCTGCTAATGAAGGCTGAGAATGCGAGCTTTAGTCATTTTTGCTATACAAACATTTATATATATATATATATATATATATATATATATATATATATATTTTTTATATTCTGATAAACCAACACTTGGCTGTAGTATGAGAAGAGAGACTGTTAGACTGAAGGGGAGAGAACTTTCCTAGAATTCTAGGCAGAGACAGGACTGAGAGATCGGACTGAGAAACAGGGTGGGAAAAAAAGGTTGAGGGGGACTTTTACAGGACATTAGAAGGAGGAGGAATAGCAGGTGTGGTTGTCCTTCCATACTTTAGAATAAGAATAATAGGCATTCTGTAGCTGATCATTCAGTTGATTTAGTGATTTATCTTTGTTTTAGGTGCATATGATTTAACATACTGTGAGCTGATCTACAGAACGATAACATGATTTACGAATTTGTCATGTTTTCATTTGAAATATTTTCATAACTAGCTACTCTTAGATGCCACCTCTGTGCTTGTTGTGAGACACAATATCAATCCTGATAATATCTTCCGTTACAGAACATTTTATTCCTTTTTTTAAATTTCTGACTACACTTATAGGTCACTCAGTTAGTCACTCAGTCAGTCAGTCACAAGCCAGTTCCATAAGATACGTCACATCTAACAAATACTAAAATGGGTTTTGACATCCATTTATTGCTACTGCACACTCAAATGTAGTATATGTGAAAAGTTTTCACACTATTTTGATAACAGGCCCTTACTTTGATTAGTATTTACAGACTTCTAATTTAGAAGTTAATTAGTTAATCAAGCCTTCAGGAGCATCTGAATGGGTGAATCAGGTGGTTATGATTAGTGCCGCAAAAGAACTCTGCAGGAGAATCACTAGAAGCAAAACAAATTAGGAATCAGTTGGTTGTACATCATTGCTGCAGACATGTAGCCAAACCATTTTATTTTATGTTAATAAAGCTGTTAGTGTATATTTAAGTTATTGTTGCTTTCAAACTTTCAGACTTTTGTCCTGCACTTAGCATGACCCTTTAATGTCCAGTAAAGCACAGTTCAACAGGTCTGACCTTCACAGAGCATGGAGAGAAGTAGCTTGCTGATGTGCGAGTCTTAAAATTTAAGACTATTCTCCTGGGACTAGCTTTCTTAAAGAGTAATCAGAACTCTCCTCTGAGCACTAACATGCTATTGCTCTAGGGAGCTGCTGTATTTCATAGTCACACACCTGACTTCAGCAAAATACAGAGAACTGTGTGAACAGTGAATGTGACTTCAATTTTCTATCTTGAAAGCACTTAGTGCATTAGTCAGTGTTGCCTGAAGAGATTTAGCGATAGATCCCCCTACAGCCTTTCCGCCTGAATGTAGTGTGTGTGTGTCTGTGTCTAGGGATGTGTGCATGTAAATGTGAGGTGTTTTGGCTCCGGCCCTCGTCCGCCTTGGTGACAGCCAGCGGTCACCGTCCAGCGGCCATCCACGTCATGAGTCTCAGCCCCCACATCGATTAACTATAACTTCCTGTCAGAAGTCAAGTGAACTGGGCTGTTCTTGAGGGTGTGCACGGAGTGCATTAAAAGGGGGAGTGCAGAGCCGTGCTAAAAGGATAGCTCACTGTGTAGGTGGTTGGACTGTGGCAGCTTGAGTGTTCCGTCAGAAAATGCAGTAAAACAGAGCATGACGAGGTGTCCTAGCTAACCTTGAATTACTCATGAAAAGGCCAGCATGTTCTGAGCTGTGGCACTTTGCTGTAAATTAGGCAGAAGTGCTAAACCAGTCCTCACACATTAGAAGTGTAAAAGAGAGTGAGAAAAGTAGCAGACGAAACCTCTAAAAATGTTAGAGAAGGAGATATGTGAATGTGAGGTTGTGGTGGAATTTGTGTTTTTAAAGTAGCACAGATCAGTGTAGGTCAGAATATCTTGAATATCTTCCAAATTGAAGATTCATTCAATTTTTAAATATAAATATAATGAATGAATATCAATATTATCAAGTACAGTACTGTGCAGATGTTCTGTGGACATTATTTAAAGTCTTTTCTCTTTGCAATAAGCATGTTTTTGTCTGTAAATTCACCATATTTCATTAGAGTAGATGCAAATAAACATAAATTTAGCAAAAAATAACAATTTCTTTCTTTTTTTAAGGTAGTTAATATCTTGTGAGCTAGTTTGAAGAACAAAGTTTGTTTACAGATTTCTCCTCAGTGCCCCCAGGCATTACTTAGAAGTTACATTCCATCAGCAGCCCACCTGATTTAACATAATGTAGTATTGATTAGCCACACCAAGTATTGCTAGACAGATGATACCTACACGTAGAACTGGGCTCCCACAATGAGAGGTTTGAAAATGGTTAAACAAACACATATAAACTACTGATGGTAATAATATTATTAATATTTATTCTTATATCAGTGTTTTTATCTCAGCAAAAACTTGCACAGGGCTAGATTCAAGATCAAAGATACACACACACATACACACACACACACACATCATCTGAACCGCTTATCCTTCTGGGTCGCGGTGGGGTGCTGGAGCCTATCCCAGCCGTCATCGGGCGGAAGGCACCCTGGACAGGTTGCCAGTCTATCGCAGGGCGATCAAAGATACAGTAGTGTTTAAACATTTGGAATCACTTGTCATTAAAAATTGCAGTAAATGCTGTAAACACTTACATTTTAACTTACTGTGCAGATTGAAATATTACTATATTATTTAATATTTAAACGTTTGGGAAGAACAAAAATTGTTAAATAATAAATTATATACTGTAATGATCTATTTACAGTAATTTCTTGGTATCTGCATAATATTTGATCACCATTTTTTAAATATGAGGCATTGTTTAATTTCTTTCTTAGTGTTATGAAATTATCAATAGCTCTGTTTTCACAGCTTCCTACTAATTGTTTGAAGTCATATATTTATCTGCAACATAACACTTTATATTCTGTAGATTAAAATCTAGGAATTTTGTTCAATATTTCAAGGATTTTCAGTTATTATAAACTGTACATTCTGTAATGTAATTATCTGTTTACAATACTTTTTCCCAAGTTATTCATCTGAGTATTTAATCACCACTTTTCAAATGTGAGACATTCTAGATGTTACATTTAACATCATTTATCATTTAACTTCATCATCTACAGCTCTGGTTAGCATTTTAGACATATCTATCTTTATTTTTTACGGCTTCCTCCCTTCTTTCTAATTACTTGGAAGCTATAACTTCGCACAGGACTAGCATATTAAATGTAATATATTTATCTTTTATTTATCTTTTATCACTGAACTGAAGAGTTACTAGAAAGTAGAAAACATCAGACTTTTGAACGGTAGTGTTTGTAGCTGATTAGTATGATTATCCTGCACTACTGGTCTGTTGATCCATCAGGAATTGTACATTTAAAAATGTAGAAGCATAATTACCATTTAACATTTGCTGCAGGCAAAGTGCCTTTGAAACGTGTGCTGTGTGCTTCTCAGCTTTAGTGGATGAGCTGTTGAGGACGCCCGGAGTGAGGCTGACCGGCTCCGGGTGGTCATCGTGGGAGACGTGGTCAGCGTGCAGTCAGGACTGTGCTAAAGGCTACCGCACACGCAAACGCACCTGCACCAACAGCGACGGCAAGAGCACACCCACCGCCTGCAGGGGGTCTCCTGTAGAGTACCAGGACTGCAACCCACAGCCGTGCCCAGGTAGCACACACTCATACACCCTCACTCTTTCTGTCTCTTTATATTTCTCTTCCTCTCACTCTCTCGTACAGTACTGTGCAAAAGTCATTGGGTATATGATAATCCACTTGCATAAAGAAGGAGAAAGTCAAAGAAAAATAAGTGAAAAAAAACAGGAGTTTCCAGAACTGGAATTATTACAAATTATTAAAAGAGAACATGTAATTCCATGCAAGACCTGGTAGACAATCAAAATTCTAATAAACAGTACTCCTCTTTATTTTCTCCTCCCTTTCGAGAGAGAGGAGGAAATCAAGCTCCACTCTTGCTTCAGATCTGAAAAAATCAATGGACGTTTCTGTCCATTCTTCCACTGTGAAAACACAACTCATTGCTGTAGGTCTGAAATAGTGTGTAGCTGTCAAGAAGCCGTTACTGAGAAAATGAAATAGACAAAAAAAGAAAAACGTTTTTAAATGAAAAAGAAGCTGCTGGTGTTCTCAGAACAATGGACTGACCACCCCAGTGTTCAGACTTTAACATCACTGAATTTATTTAGGTTTACTTGGATTGTGAGAGACAGAAAATTGAATGTCTACGACTGCACTTTGGAGGTGTGAAAAATATCCTTCCAGACTTCTTAGAAAAACTGAAAGCAAGAATATATATGTTTTTGGCAGTTTTGACTATAAATGAAATGTAAAAGGTGGTCTTTGACTTTTGCATAGTACTGTATGTATACACACTCACACACACAGACATATACATGCAAGTTCAGAGACACAGAGCACACAGACACACCTGCAGACATACGTTCACCCTACTTTAATTTGAAGACTTTCGCACTCTCGCTTTCTTTCGACTTTCAAATAGATTATACTCTCCCTTTCTCGCACACACACGTACAAACACACGTACACACACAGACACACATGCCCTCAGCGGGAAAACAGCTGCTGAGTCCATTAGGATGTGTCGAGTGGATTACTGATTTCATTAGCTAATGGATAGCTGAGATGTCCCAGTGGGGCCTGAGGCCCATGTTCAAAGCCTTTCTTACCCTGGCAGAGCAATCACAGAGGTTTGCAGACATTCTATAATTAACAAATCGAATGATTTATACAGACAGCTCGGTAAAGGAAAGTCTGATAATTCTGTTGTCCGCTTGATCACCAGATTCCATGACCGGATTTTTCTTCTGGTTATGGATGAGTATGTACAAGCTTGGCCTTGAGCCATTGTAAAATATCACAGATCTATTTCACTTGTGCGACAACTGTCTTCGTTAGAATCACTCTCAGTCCTCTCCTAATGAGAGCAAGTCGGGCATACACTAAACTAAACGTCAGCCTTTTACAGAATTTCTTGTGAGAGAGCGGACTGGACGATAAGGCAAAAGGAGAGTATCACAGACTTTACAAGTTTTGACTACAAAAAGTACTAAAATCCCAAATCTCCCCATTTTTGCGATGTAAACAAGGCTGGACCGAACCTGTTTGTGCTTTTATGCACACACGAGACAAAGCGGAAACACAAACTGGTGAGTATGTGGTTGTGAAACACAGATATTATTTTCTACAGCAAGAGTTGGAGAAGTATTTTTCTACAAACTGCTGGCTGACTTGAAATTGTAAAGAGACTTAACATCTGAATTCATACATTATACACATCATAAAGGCTCTTATTTGCCAGTGTTTAGTAAGCAGCCTCTCCGTCTCTGAGGGCTCTTCAACTTCTTTTCTCTATATTTGCTCCCTCAGTGGCTATTGCCTGTATCACTCGTTCAGTTACATCACTCACCATCTCACAGGACTCATGAACGTATTAATTTGTAAAAAATCAAGCATGTTTAAAAATATCATAAGGCCTCCGATCACTCAGGAGCTGAAAAATCACTTCCGATTGCGAAAATCTGTCTGAAGGGGCAAATCAAATTAAAATCAGCGTGCAGTGTAGGCCCGGCTTTAAATGAATTAGGCAAATAAGGCCAGTGGTTGAAGGCTAATGGATGCATTCTCAATCATATTAATAGCCACATGCCAGACAGAGAGAGCGATTAAAAGGAGAAAGATGCATATTTTTTATCACTCAGTACTGCTAAATTAAGTGTAGGTTCCGCACCAGCGGTGTTTGCGACCATTTCTATTTCCGCATTGTGTTTACCACTTAGCTCAGATGTATGTGTGGCCATCCTAACCCTTTTCTGTGTGTGTGTGCCAAGTTGTTGGACTCGAGTCGGTGCGGCCACCTTGCAGTCACCCTGCAGTTGGTCATGCCCCACTTCACCACTCTAATCCACTGGAGGAAATAGAGTTTTCTGCTGCAGGGAAATGGAGCCCCCTCAACATACACACACACACACACACCTCACCCCTCTCGCACCATCCCATCAATCTGATGAAAAATCAGCAGAGGATTGCAGCAGCTTCTAACAGGAGAGGAAGTGCCAATAAAGCAGAGCCTTTTTTATAAGGGGGGGGGTGAACGTCTAAGCAGTGACAAAGGATAGAAGCAGTGGGTTAATGCTCTAATGGTCAGGCTCAGGTGTGGAGGGTGCCGCTGGAGGCTAATGAAGAGTGCTGGCCAAGAAGCGAGAGCACCTCACTCTGCCTGAATGCCTGCTTTCCCCATTACATCCCACAGCAAATCATCGCTGTCATAAGAAAACCTCATATTTTTGAAATGGCAATTTTATAGGAGAAGGAAAAAGCATTTCTAGCATCTGTTAAAGGGAAATTCTGCTGAATTTTCAAAAATTCTGCATAATGTAACTGTTATAAATAAAGTCATTCAGACTGGTTTGATGAGAAACGCTCCATTCTAGAGAAACTTGCCGAGTCAAAATGTTGACCGTGGTGGTGATAGGAACCAGAAGTCTAGTTTATATCTCCAAAAGCTACATCACAGAAAGTTATTACACAAAATGGATATGCTGTCTGATGCATTGTTGTTAGTTTTGAGATAAGATTTTGGCCTAAAAAAATGTATGACAGAGAGGTATGCTGTAAGACCACATAGTCCAGAACAAAAGCCTATTTTTATCAGATTTACTTGTTTTACTATTCACATTACGTATAAAACCTCAGAAGACATTTGTAGGTTCATTGGTCATTTTGGATAGCAAAGAAAATGGCAATATTTGCAGTACAAACATCATGACCTCTGGTTCCTATCAGCACCACTGTAAAGAAATCAGTCAGAAAGTCTCTGTTTGCTTTCTTTACATCTCAGTCATATAATTATGCAGACATTTAGAAAAGTCCCTTTTAAAGAAACACCTCAGTGCTTTTCGAACTAATCTCTAGTTACCAATCTCTGTGTGGACTATTATTACCCTGTACGTAGAAAAGAACTGAAAACCTGCTGGCTCAAAAAATGCTCATAGTAAAAGCCGTCGAGCAGGTGCTCTGAGTGTGTTTCAATTCAACAAAATTTCTATGTTGTACAGAAATACAGGGAAACGTGTCTAAATTATCGTCTGTGGTGAGTGACGATGTGTTACAGATGCTGCAGCTAAAAAATGCCTTTATTCCTTTAATATATCTTAAAAGCTCTTTCTGTGGGTTCATTCATTGTGAAATGTTTACTCAAGGTAAAGGGCATCAGGCGTTTTCAAAATATTTATATGAAAGAATTAAATATCAAAAAATACAAGGTTTTCTTATGACTGGAATGAAATGTTTGCCTGTCAGTGCTGTGAGCGTTTCTGATCCCTGCTTCTGTTGTGTTTTGTCTTGTGTGTTTGTGTCTGTCTGCCCATCCCATTATCGCCGTGTGTGTTTTGCCTGTTTGTGGCGCCTTGTGTTTGTGCTGCGCGTGTCTGCTTATCCCACTGTTTGTGCTTTTCCCGCTCGCCTGATCGCCCTGTGCTTGTGTGTGTATGTGGTGTTTTTTTGTGCGTGTGCGTGTTGTCTGGTCTGTGCAGTGAAAGGTGCCTGGTCTTGCTGGTCTCCATGGTCGCAGTGTTCAGTGCCCTGTGGCGGAGGGCACTACCAGCGGACGCGCAGCTGCACCAACCCTGCCCCCGCCCACCGAGGGGACATCTGCATCGGCCTGCATACAGAGGAGGCGCTGTGCAACACACACGCCTGCCAGGGTAAGCTCACCTCAGGACCAACAGTTAGTGGGGAAAAAAAACACATTTCAAAGCCACAGAGTACTGCCAGCCACGGGTCCTGACCATGCACTCCCAACGGAGTATGCCTCTGTCTGTATGCACAAAAGCAGATCCAGATGTTTTTGCAATCTTCTGTCTGTCCATCTCCACTCATTTTATTACACTTAAAGCAACAGCTCAGCCGAAAATCAAATTTGCATTATTTTCACCTTAACTCAAAATGTTATCAATCAGCTATGTTTGCTAAGATATGTTTGATGTCCAAAGATTACTTCTTTAGTTTTACACTGGAGTTTGTAGGCTATTGTAGCTAACATGTAATGGTATGAAGAAGGAAAGTCGTCAGAAAGCCTACTGCAGTTTGCATCTGAAATAAATAGTAAACAGTAAAATTACAGGTTTAGCAACATAACATGCTCAGTGTCACCTTCCATATTCAGTTATATATGACACTATGACAACAGTCCAAATTATTAAAACTGTACTGTGTGGGTTTTGGAGATTTGGAGACCTCTCTGGTGGAAATGTGTAATTGCATGCAACGTGTTGAAGAACATTTTGTAACAGCAGTTGTTCGGACGTGTTCCCCAAGCACATGAATCTGATGATTGCAAGCACGTTGAAAGAGCATTCACAGAAAACTCAGTCAAACCTTGGTGAAGAATGTGCTTTTAGCAAATTATCTACTTTTGTCATAATATCTTCATCAGTATGATGTTGATTTTGTGTTTGAGACCTAAACATTGAGCTGGTCATTCTTTCTGAGCCTGTGTGACGTTAATATGTAAAGACGTATGACGAGGTCTGAAAAACTCCAACACGACACCTGTGACTTAAATTATTACTTCAGGCTTTACAGGATGGCTCGCAGCATCATGCACACACCACATTTTAGCATGTTTTTTCTCCTCACTCACGAATGCTTCTTCTTTCAGTTTTAACAGAAATCCAACATAGTGCAGATTTAACTGACAGTATTTACAAATTTTACAAAAATTGAGCCTGTGCACTCATGATGTCACTATCACATTCAACAAAGTTGAGCTGGCACCAGGCCGTGGGTTTTGTAGTTATTATATTTTCTTCATAGCTACTGTGCTTATATGGTCACTATGTCTGTTTCACAGAAGTTCTAGCTTTATCAGAAATTCCCTATGGTGAAACAAAGGGCCATTCAAGATGTTTCAGACACAGTCAGCAGATGGCATAGGTCTGCACTTTTCATCCCAATAGCTATCAGTTAGCACTGTGCAGCCTACATGCTGTGTGTCATACTGTTATCTATAAAAACTGACAGCAGTACACACGCTATTCAGGCTTAGAGTGACCTCTATGCAAGCTAGCTAGCTATACAACATATGTTTGGACAACTATATCGAATAACGAGTCTAGCTGAGATTCTGTAATAGGTCATTGCAGTTTGAGGCGAATGGTTGCTGATTTAGGCATGCAGGTTGCACAATGCTAATTGGTGGTTATAAGCTAATCAATTATTAGTTACAGTAGCCTGTAGCTCATGTGCAAAACTGAAGGAGCAAGCATCGGACATCAAACATGTCTTGGCTGATCTGCTATAAAAGGAAAAATGTACAAATTTGACATTTGGCTAAGCCGTCCCTTTAAGAAGCACATTGTCACTGTTGTCAACTCCATTGAGCTGTTGTGAATGTAATAAAGGTTTGTTGTTGCGCAGTTGATCATTATTGCTATGAGAGCACTGCTCCCAGACCTATCATTCACTGCAAGTCTATGCAACACAAGCATTATTTTCCAGAGATACACAGAGGGTCATAAGTGCTGTATAGATGTGAGAAAGAAAGAGAGAGAGAGAGAAAGAGCGAGAGAAACACTGCATGAGCACAATGTAGCGCTGTAATCATATTCTGTGGTCTGAAGTGTAGAACAAGGACTTCAATGTGTTCCAGTACAAAACCAGCACAGCTGCTCCCATAAGGAGAAACTCAAATATTTATGAAGCGAGCTAATCTTGGAATCATATGTGTGAATGGCAGCGATTCCCTAAAAAGAGGAAGAAAAAAAAACGCCTCTCTGATTTAACAAGCGCTGCAATGCTTGTTTTAGCCCATGTTTTATTCTTTCCTTATTGTGCACTTAATTTTCCTTGAATGCTGTGCTGTATGTTTCAGGTACCTGCATTTACAATGTCCTGACAAATAACAAACCTGACAAGGATGGAAGCTTTTATAAGCTGTCAATCAACAGGAAACTAATTCCCTTTTGATGACTGTTACAAACAAAGTTTGTTTTGCTTCGGCATCAAAAGCCGACACACGCTCATGCACAGTTCAGTCAACTGTCTGCGTGGCTGTTTTCTTTCTTTTTTCCGTCCATCTCTTAATGTGATGGCATAGTGATCACCCAAACCTAGTCACTGCAGATTAAAGACTCTTGTAGGCTGTCACTCAGCAGCCAATCAGATGGCCCAGGCTGCACAGTGTTTCTGTGAGCGTGGCTTGATTAAAGATGTTGTGAGAGTAGGAGTGGGTGAAGGGCAAGTGCAGAAGCTGCATGTATATTAAGAGAAGCAGTCTCAGTCCATCAATGCCACTGGCCCTCTTTTTTCCCCTCTGACTTTGCTAAGCAAACACTTTGCTTGATTGAGGCAAATAAACAGAGATGGATGTAGCAATTATCCGCACTGCTTAGCATCGTTATTAAACAGGAGGGGGCATTTGCTACAATAGCTATGAATTCCTCCCACCAGCACTGGCTGCTTGAAATGGAGATTTCAGACATAGGCTCTGATACTCCAGTCCCGTCTTCCTCTGTTTATAAACGAAGAATTCCTGTGAGGCTGAGATGGCACTTTAAGATTTTGTAGCCGCCAAACATTGCGACAGCTCAGAAAAAACTAAAAGAATGAATTTATTTGTTGATTCAATTTCCCCAGCACGCCAGTGTGTCCATGTTTTCTCAAATTCTCTGCTAAATAAACACTTCGGTGTGCATCTCTCTGAAAGTGTCTCCTTGGTTATTGTTTGGGCCTTTGTTTCGGGGCTTTGGTACTGTTTGTTTCATATGCGTGTGTGGGCCAGAGAGTCATGGCTTGGCTAGACAGCTGACCCTCTACTCTTTGAAAGCGCGTGTTTGCAAATGTTTGTTCATGCAGGTGGCTGGATGGCCTGGACTGTGTGGTCTGCGTGTGACGACACGGGTCTGCAGCTACGCACTCGAGAGTGTGGCACTCAGGGCTTGACTCCATGTATAGGGAATAGCACTCAGACCAGAGACTGTAACGAAATCCCAGGTGAGACATCACACATACAACAAGCACAAACAGTGTCGATGTTTTCATCGGTTTTCTGTTCAAATTGTATGCGATAAAATAAAACTGCATTAAGATTGTTTTGTTATTTTTGCTGCCCAGAGGCTTGCTTCCATCAAACCAAAGATTGTATATGTGGTAAAGCTAGATAGTGCATGCCTATTTAAGTCAATGAGACAAAAAGTGCTACAGTTTCTATCTGCTTAAGTTTTGTGTCATCCACTTCACCTGTCAACAACAGCTGCCTGTGCAAAAAGACTCAGCGGTAACTGAGCAGACCACTTTTTCTTAAAATGAGCTCATCTGAATAATCTGAAATGCATGTTTAGACTCAAAATAGTCAAAGAGCATAACAAGCACAAAAATGCCCACAAATGTGTGGTAATTGTGAAGAAGGAAAAATAATTGCTGAAGTTTGATGAAAAGCAGAATTTCTCGCTGGTATGAATGGGCCTTGAGTTTCTGTTGTCTGCATAAAGGGGGAATGGGCCCCCCCCCCAAAACTATGTGACAGTGATTCTGAAAATATTTTTGCATGGCAGCTCTCACTTCATGAATCCTCTCTGATCAAACTGACTCTTAGTGATGAAAATGCTTTACACAGTGACATCATTTCCTGCGAAAAACAATTCTTTGAATTGAAGATTGAAACATACCTGTTGATGTGAAGCACTGCTCTTATGAAGCACCCTCGATTTGAGTACTAGTAGCACCCCCTTATGGTAAATTTTCTGCCTGCGAAACATGAGTGAGTGGGTATATGAGTGAGAGTCATAAGCAAGGTTCAGAAAGTGCTTTACATCTAAAAACACACACTCATACACCCAGCCTCGTGTGCTTGAACCCACTCAGATATATTCAGTATTCTGTTGCCGCTTCACCAAATCCCATACAAAGCCATACACTCTTCTATGTGCCAAAAGGTTCAGCTTGACAGCAAATGAATTTGCTGTTGTGTAATTCAGTGTTGTGCCTATTAAATAATCATATATTTTTACACCCTTTCAAAATCCACTGTTGGCTTTGAGATAGATTAGCAGTAATGTGTTTACTTGCACTGATTCATCACTCTGGCCGGTGGAGTGGAAGTGGGTTTTATAAGTGGAGAACTGATCGCTTCCAGGCTGCTAGAACAGAGGTTAGCCGAGCGGAATACCAAGTGAATCAGGCACTGTAATTAATATTAATGTTATGTCACAACGCAGGCTCACATCCAATTTCACTCCAATTTTGGGTAGGCGCGTTTGAAATCGTAAGGTCTGTTGGACAGTGAGGAAAGAGGGTGATTTTGCCTAAAATTAATCAAGGAGATTTGCGCGTCTCAATTAAAAGAGTCTACGCGCTCACCCTCCACATCCATCTGCCAGCGGATGAATATCCACCTCTTGAGCATATCTAAGATCAGCTTTAAAAGTACAACGGAGAAATGGGATTATAATGGACTCTATTGCAGCTGTGGGAAAGTGAGATCACTTCTGATCACTGAACCATGTGCATTACCACAGATCTTCACATGGAATACTAACACTGGGACTGGCCTCTAGTCTTAGTGCTAATTAGTTTTGTATTCGATTCGATTACGATTCAGAGGCTGCGATGCAATTATAAAATGATTATTGATGCATCTTGATGTATCTTTTTTTTCTATACAGGATTTCTTTTTTCTCACTGTGTGACGACTTGGTACTTTTAAAGCATAAAGCCAAAGTATTTGTAATGGTCCTTTTTCCCCTTCAACTTCAAAGAAGCCAAAGTGCTTCCTTACGTTAGCTCAGGGGTCGGAAACATACGGCTCTTTTACTGTCCTGGTAAAAATAAAATAACCCTCATTTGCAGCTCTGCTCTGCTGATTGTTACAACACTGTTTTAACAATAGATGGTGTTAAACGCCGCTAATTCACCACCCTATAGCCCTGGAGGTTGGCATGCAGACTGGAGGTCACATAGCAACGCAGACAGTCTCGCCTAGCTAGTCGCTAACGAACAGGCGAAGAGGCAGATTTAAGACAAACATTTGGAGACGAATTAACTTATTTGCATTTATAAGCACCGCAGTTGGCTTCCTGGTACTTTTAATCTGCAACGAGCCTGGTAAACACTAAAAAGTCGCAAAGATGAAGTCAGCTTCTCGTTCGAATTGTCCCGTTCCACCTTATATAGTGCCGCATTTACATTCTGGCACCTCAGACAGAATTTAAGGTGGAACGGGAAAATTCGAACATTCTTAACATTTGGGTTGTGACACCTGACCTAACCTAGCTTTTAATGCAGAGGGTGCCGGTCGGTTTTCTCGCTCATCCAGTGGTGTTTTTGTTATGTGCCGCCACAGACTGTCCGGGCGCTGCACTTCCGCACTTCCAAGTTCCGCCTTTTGCGTTCAGTCAACATTACGTTATATTTAGAAAATCGATTTTTGACATTTGTGAATCGATTCAGAATCATCCACGTCCGCATCGCAATTGACCCCCTAATATATATATATATATATCAGGCTTAACATTATGACCTTGTTTCTACACTCATTGTCCATTTTATCAGCTCCACTTACTGTATAGGTGCACTTTGTAGTTCTACAGTTACAGACTGTAGTCCATCTGTTTCTCTGCATACTTTGTTAGTCCCTTTTTGCCCTGTTCTTCAGTGGTCAGGACCCCCATGGACCCTCACAGAGCAGGTACTATTTGGGTGGTGGATCATTCTCAGCACTGCAGTAACACTGATGTGGTGGTGGTGTGTTTGTGTGTGTTGTGCTGGTACGAGTGGGTCAGGCACAGCAGTGCTGCTGGAGTTTTTACCTCAGTGTCACTGCTGGACTGAGAATAGTCCACCAACCAAAAATATCCAGCCAACAGCGTCCTGTGGGCAGCATCCTGTGAGCACTGATGAAGGACTAGAGGATGACCAACACAAACTGTGCAGCAGCAGATGAGCTATCGTCTCTGACTTTACATCTACAAGGTGAACTGGCATGGTAGGAGTGTCTAATAGAATGGACAGTAAATGGACACAGTGTTTAAAAACTCCAGCAGCACTGCTGTGTCTGATCCACTTGTACCAGCACAACACACACTAACACACCACCACCACGTCAGTATTCCTGCAGTGCTGAGAATGATCCACGACCCAAATAGTACCTGCTCTGTGAGGGTTCATTTTTGTTGTACTTTTTTAAAGAATTTGAAAATGCTCACTGACCTTTACAGTGTGCCTAAATTTCATGATGAACGGAGCACTAGAAATGCTCCAAAAGTGCTTAGAAAAAATGTAGTTCCACTTCTTCCGACATATATATGTATATATGTATGTGTGTGTGTGTGTGTGTAGGTATGTATGTGTGAGCATTGGATAGATGTTTAGATTTGACTATTTCTAACCAATATTTGATGTTTTTGTTATACTCCAGAAGAGCTAAAAGTTTTGGTGACACTGGGTTGCTGTGCTAAATGTATTTTATTCCTTTTACTATTCTTTTCCGTTTTGTTGATTTACTAAGTGAAAATAAGTTACACATACTCTACAGGGAAGAAACTTAAATGTCCCATTTTTCAACAAATTTTAGTGCACAATGTCTGTTTATTAGTTTCTATATTAGAATTAGTTAAAATAAGCAAATAAACATAATTTTCCATGAAAATGTGTAGAATTGTGTTCTCTGAGGAGGATGTGTTAACATATTTTCACTTAAAAAATCAGTGAAATGTAATTTGACTAGGGTCACACAAATTTTTGCATACACTCACAGTTCACACATTTGGTGGAAAGAGATAAATCTCAGCATTAATATCTAAATACTCGTGTGGTGTACACTTGGAGCAAGATGGGAATCATTTCATAACACTTTAATGCTACTGGAAGAGGCTTTGATGTTATTTTCCCTTTTTTATCACTGATTTTCCGACCACAGCACTGGAGTCTATCTCTCTGACATGCTGCTGTGTTACTGTCATCGCTCCTCTATGCATTGCCCCAGTTCCAGGAATGTTGCCTTTCACAGCAGTGAGCAGAGGACAGCGGTGATTGACATTCTGGCTGTAACTCAAGAGAGGAGTGTGTATGTGTGTGTTTGTGTTGTGTGTAAAGCAGATATGTGCTGGTGTGTAACTCTCTCTTTCTCTGCTTCTCTCTTTCCAGTGATTCTGCCTGCATCTGGCTATGATAAGGACCAGCAGTGTGGGGGTAAGTGCATCAACCAGTGTGTTTTCAGGTGTGTTTTGATGCACAGTGGTGGACGCATGTCGGCATGCACTCGTGCAAGTGTGTCCATGTGGCTGCACTCGAATGTGCATGTATGTGAGCAAGCATGTATGTATTCCTGTGCAAATATGTGTGTTCCTGCATCCTTGCTCTTTCATGCAGTCCTCAGGAGGTAATGGAATCCCTCCACTGTGAGCTCCCTCTGCAAGACTCTCAGTAATGTAAATGAGTGCTGGAAGGAGTGAGGAAGAGGAAGAAAGACACGCAGGGCCAAACTGGGCTCTTCACAGCCCGCCGCTCTGCTGCCCCTGAGCTGATGCCATTCTCCACACTCCACATTCTGCTCTCCCCCCAACCTCCAGCCAGCTGGCACCACCTGCACTTCAGCCACACCTTCACATGAATAGACACTACTGTTCAAAAGCATGGAATCAAAACTTTCAGTAATGTTAAACCAGTGTGGATGGAGATCAAATGATATCATATGAAGTGATTCTAAATTCTAAAAGAAATGTGGATCTGTTTAGAATGATGAATGGAGCTGCAAATTCTAAAATGACTAAGAAAGCTGTACAACATTACGAATGAAGTTCAGAATCCCAATTAACTTTCAGAATCCCTCATAGTTTAAAATGAGTATAAGGAGTGCTTCAACCCATTTTATGAAGGAGGCACAATACAGTGGAGCCAATCAGAACAGAGATCATTTACATTAGTGAATGTCCTCAGGGCCCAAGTAACTGTCTGCATTTTTGCGATATACTTGTGTACCACCTGTGAGCATTACAGAACCATACCCTATTTTTTCCCTGATGGAAATATAATTACTATATAACCATCAATTGGGCCAGCTTCTAATACTACTTAATTTATAGAGACCCATATAGACAGATTGGAACAGTGTTAACTCCTAGTCCTCCTCAGTTGTTTGGTTGTAAACCAAAATCTTGCAAAATTGGCACTTTGGCACCTTTCTTATAGACAAATTCATTAATTGTACACTCTATCGGAGAGTAGCTCTCATATATCTTACTTTGTTGCATTTGCGTATTCCCCAGTATTTTTTAGCAGACCAAATATCTACGCTACAGTCTTAGCAAGTGCAGCTAAAGTAGGTATATGTGTATTTAATTAATGTTCTTTTTACATAGCCTACATTTAAGTGCAGTCTTTTTTCTATTATATGCATTTTGTTAACTAACTGTACATTAGAATGATAGTACAAACAGAATGGCTAGATAAAGACAAACCATTAAAAAATGTTAATTGCATAATATCAGTTCTTATTTAAATTTAATTGACTGTATCAATTATCCCAGCAACTAACACAGAATATACTGAATACTGGTTCAAGTGTTGTACAGTGACACAGTTTTGTAATTTTGCCTCTGTACACCACTACAATGGATTTGAAATGCAAAAAGATGTGATTGAAGTGTAGACGTTTAGCTTTAATTCAGGGGGTTAAATAAAAATATTGCATTAACCGTTCAGGAATTATAGCCCTTTTTTACATTGTCCCTCCATTTTCACAGGCTCAAAAGTAATTGGACAGTTGACTCATAAGCAGTTACATGGCCAGGTGTGACCTGTTCCCTCGTTATTTCATGACAGATTAAGGAGATAAAAGGTCTGGAGTTGATTCCAAGTATTGAACATGCATTTGGTAGCTGTGGGACTTCTCAATATGCATTCCAAAGAAGTGTCGATGTAAGTGAAGGAGGTCATCATTAGGCTGAAAGAAAAAACTATCAGAGAGATAGCAGAATCTGTAGGATTGGCCAAATCAACAATTTGGTACATTCTTAAAAAGAAGGAATGCACTGGTGAGCTCAGCAACACCAAAAGACCTGGAAGACCACAGAAGACAACTAAAGTGAATGATTACAGAATTCTTTTCATGGTGAAGAAAAACCCTTTGACAACATCTAGTCAACTCAAGGATGTTCTAGAGGAGATTGGCGTATCATTGTCAAGGTCTACAGTCAAGAGACACCTTTATAAATGTAAATCAAAGCATTTACCTCAAGATGCAAACCACTAGTAACACTCAAGAACAGAAAGGCCAGAACAAAAAAGCCTACCCAGTTCTGGACCAAGATTCTTTAGACAAATGAAATCAAGATTAACTTATACCAGATTGATGGGAAGAGAAGAGTATGGAGACAGAAATGAAGGGCTCATGATCTGAAGCATCCCACATCATCTGTCAAACATAGAGGAGTATTATGGCATAGGCATGTATGGTTGCTAGTGGAACTGGGTCCATGGTGTTTATTGATGATGTGACTGCTGATGGAATTAGCAGGATGAATTTTGAAGTGCACAGAGCTACGCTTTCTGCTCAGATTCTCTCAAATGCTGCAAAACTGATAGGACGACGACAGTACAGATGGATAATGACCCAAAACATAACGCGAAAGTAGCCCAAGAGCTTTATAAGGCAAGGAAATGGAATGTTCCTAAGAGGCCGAGTCGGGTACCTGAACTCAACCCAACTGAGCATGCTTTTCACTTAGTGAGGACAAAACTGAAGGCACAAATATCCACAAACAGTGAAGGCCTGGCAAAGCATCTCAAAGGAGGAAACTCAGCACTTGGTGTTGTCTGTGGGTTCCAGACTTCAAGCTGTCATTGACTGCAGGGGATTTACATCCAACTTGTATTTATAATCGTGTTAGTTTGTCCAATTACTTTTGAACCTGTGTAAATGGAGGGATTATGTAAAAATGGCTGTAATTAAATAAACAGTTAGTGCAACATTTTTGTTAACTTGCCTGAATTAAAGCTGAAAGTCTACAGTTCAATTACTGCTTCTTTTCAAATTCAGTGTGTTGGTGTACAGTGACAAAATTACAAAAATTGTGTCTCACTCACACACACACACACACACACACACACATTTTCTAAGCCGCTTACCCTTTTGGGTCGCGGGGAAAATTTGTGTCAGTGTGCAAATAATTATAGACCTGACTGTATCAGACTTTAAGGTACAGTAACGAAAATACAGCCTGTTTAAGATATAAAGAAAGATTGAAACATGTTCATGTGAAAAAGTGAATCTTGACTCTTTTTGGTACAGATACCCACACAAACATAATAAATTGATCTTAAAAGAAAAATTCAATACAGGGAAAACATAGGATGTGACCCCTTCAAATTCTAAGAACACCTTTTGGTGTCCATTTTTTTTTTAAATGAAATGTACATTGTGTGAGATACCATTGTGTACAAAATGAAAAATATTAATAAGGCAGGTGATTCCACTTTTGAATGGTAATATTCATAAAGAGTGGGGCAGACCAGTGGTTTTTAGGCCAGTGACGCGGGCCGCAGTGGGTATCGGCTGCCCTCTGAGATGGCGCCACCGTGCCAATTTGAGCTCTCTCCAGGTAGTGTCCGCAGCCGGCCATGAGCAGCTCATTACCCAGCATCCCCCAAGAGCGGCACTCTCTCGTGTGCTCAGCGGCCAATTAGAGCAGCGCAGCGTAGTGGCATGGCACCCTCTTCTCTCCATCTCCACACACACTCATTACGGCCATGGCAAGTGATATGACTGCTCTGCTAATCAGAGCAGTGAGCCTCAGTGCAGCCATAGTCACTCTGACACTATCCAACACCTGCCTACTTCTGGATGGAACACTGTGATGACTGTTACAGACATATTGAGCTAGTAATGAGGAATGTAGTGGCATCACAGTGGTTTTTCTTTTCTGATATGACTATAACGGATGAATTTCTTCTCAAAGTGATCAGGTTCAGCGGGAAAAAAAGTTGTGGAAAGAGCAAGAGCTGATGGTAGCGACTTGTAGACAAATGATATATTTTTTTTAAATGATGCCCTCTTCCTGTTAACCTTGGTTTTCTTTTTTTTTCCAAGGTTTCACTCTGCTGCACCTGATAGCCACAGGTGTGTCGTGTTTCCTGGGTGCGGGGCTGTTGTCCTTCCTGGTGTACGTGTACTGCCAACGCTTCCACAAACCCTCGCAGGAGTCTGCTGTCATCCACCCTACCACTCCTAACCACCTCAACTACAAGGGGAACACCACGCCAAAGAACGAGAAGTACACACCTATGGAGTTTAAGGTGAATTCCGCTTTGCTATGCGCTCATGTCTACTGCAGTTCTCTCCTCAACTTTAAGAAAATATTCTACTGAACGTATGCATTATACAGACCTAGTTAAAGCAGCCGATTTATAGATGGCAGTATAAAAAGGAGCTGGGCTGCCTTTTGCCTTCAGAGCAGCATCGATTCTTCTTTTCTTTTATGTATTTCTGAGCCATTTTCGGTAGGGAATTGATCCGTTCTTCAAGCCGAAGAGGTCCACCATCATGTTTAACGGTTTGAAGCACAGTGTGGCTCAATTTTCACAAAAGAAAACCTCTATGGAGAAAAAAGTAAAAAGCATTATTATTTTGTTATGCGAAGGTCTAAGTTTAGTGTTCATTAGGGTATATGTGACACTGGCTTTGGTTACAAGTCCTGAAGTGGCTGTGTGCTCAGTAGGCTGTTGCTCGTTTTTTTTAGCAATTACCCAGCTGGATATCTGTTCCCGTCAGTGAGTTTCCACTTACAATCTGCCAGTTTTGCACCTTCCTGAGGCAGCTTTTCTGTGTTTGAAATATGCTGTCATTTTGGACAGTATTTTTATTTTTTATTTTTTTTTTTTGCTTTTTCTTCAACTGGCAGCCCTGCAATATGTGTACCCAATTACTCAACCACACAGGTTGTCTCACAATTTGTTAACTCTCCCACTCATATATTGTCGAGCTTTCTTTTTTCATGTCTTTCATTGCAAATGCACATTTGCCATACATACCCAACAGATACAAAAAAATGTGCATATTGCTTTTTTCCTGAGATGAAGAAACAAAACACAGACAGAATGACTTGCTTACTCATCTGGTGTGACTCTTATTTTATCTGCCACCTTGTATTTCAACAATAAAACCGTACACTCAAGGTGGTAGACGGATGGAGACTGGACTTAAGTCTGGAACATGGTGAACAGCTTCAAACTTCCATTAATAATGTTTTTAGGTATCCATCATTTGTTATATCTGACATGTACAGCTCTGAGACGTGTGATTGTGGGCAGATGAGAGGTGCTTTTCGATCTCCCTGCAGCTGCTTGTTTAGCCTCCTCTCGCAGCCCCATGCAGCTCCTGGTGCACACTCAGTCTTTATTAATGGGCTCCATTAGACTGTTTAAGCAGCAGCCGGCCAGTGCACTCCCACAGCTGGTTGTGACTGATTGTTGAGCCCATCCAATTAGTTGGGCTCGGCTTGCTTCCCCCCCCACCTCGTGTCCTTGCTCTGACACCTGTGTGCGCCCATAGCCACCACTTCCATCGATCTGCTCCGTGCCCGCTGCTCACTCTAAGCTCATTACGAGGCCTCGGGGCTCGGACGCCAGTAACTAAGGTGATATGTGTTAGCGTAAGTAATGGCGGAGTGGCAGCTGCTGCGGCCCTCTTCGAGAGGCGCTCCTCTGCACGTCCATCTGCAGATGGCAGAAGCGGAGGTGGCAGTTAGTGATGAGTGTGATGAGAAGCATCCGGTGAGAGACTTGCCTTAATTAGTATGAAGAATCTGATGTCACAGAGCAGTTAAGACAAAACCCCAGCTGTTCATCAGAAAAGGTCCAAAAGATGCAACTCCTGTCTAGGGGTGTGTAGGGGTAATCAAATACTCCATTAACCATCCTAGGTGCAAGTACTCAAACACTATAATCACTATGCAGGTATTCATTACACTGCATCACTGAAAGGTGAAGACAGTATATGGGCCAATTATTCAGTTAAACGCCTGCAAGGGCTATAAATTTGCTCATATTCATGATCGTTTACAGTACTGTGCAACAGTCAGAGACCACTGTTAGTTTACATAACTTCCATTTAAAACAGTCACTAAGTACAAGTTATTCATGTTTCAGGAGATATTTCTCCCGATATTCATATACAAAATCATACACTTAAGGAATAAGGAAGGGGAAAGTCAAAGGATAAAAGTCTCCCAACAACTGTGCAAGACATGGTAGACTAACAAAACTGTTACCATTAGATTAACAGTACTTAAAGCTTTCACTCCACCCTTGCTCCAGATCTGAAAAAATCCACAGGTGTTTCTGTCCATCCTTTCACTGTGAGAAGACAACTCAACACTATCTGAAAGAATGCAAGGATGTGTAGCTACCAAGAAGCTGTTAGAAAAGAAAATAGACAAAAGTTGCACTAGAACACCAAAAAGGGACATCTAATATTTGTAATCAGGATAACTTGGATCATGAGAAGCAGAAAATACAACCAACTTCTAAGACTGAACTTTGGAGGTGTGTAAAAATATCCCTGCAGATTTCTTTGAAAAACCAAAAGCAAGTCTCCTGAAAAGAATGGAAATTGTAATAAAGGCAAAGTGTGGACACATAAAATACTGAAAAAAATTATATTAAATTCACATTTGAGAATTCTGTATAATTTTCTGTTAAATATGTTTTAATGACACTGAATAACTTGTACTCAATAGCTGTTTGAATGGAAATTAAATAAAGGTTCTCTGAATTTTGCCCAGTACTCCATGTTACTTTGCTACTACGAAACATGAGTGCCTTAATGTGAGCGCCCAAGTACGCCCCAAAGGATATAGCTAGGTTATAAAGCAGGGGTGTCCAATCTTATCCACAAAGGGCCAGTGTGGCTGCAGGTTTTCACTCCAAACAAGCTGGAGCACACCTGACTCCACTTGTTTAATCAGTTGGTTTCAGTCTTCAAACCGCTGATCAGGTGATCTCCCGCTTTGTTGGAGTGAAAACCTGAAGCCACACCGGCCCTTTGTGGGTAAGATTGGACACGCCTGCTATAAAGGTACTGACATTATAGATTATAAGTGATGCTACACTCTTAAAAAAGGTGGTGCTTCAAGGGTTCTTGAGTAACAGAAATGGTTCTTTACAGAACCATGAACACTCAAAGAACCCTTCGCACGAAAGAGTTCTTTGGATTGAGGGAAAATGTGCATGAATGTGCTTTCCTTTTTGAAAAGGGTTCTATATAGCACCCAAAAGAGTTTTTTGTATTGTTACAGGCTTCACACCGTAACAATACAAGAACCCTTTTGGGTGCTATACTCTGCTTCCCTACTCCTTTCACACTGACAGTAATCCAGCATTCTCCCAGCTGTCACCCAAGACACAGGGCTAAGCTTGTGTTTGTTTGTGTACCTGCTCATGACTGGGGGCTGCATATGTGTGCAGCAGCAAGGTCTTAGACTCTGACAAAGCTGCTGTTTATTATATTTTGCATGATGCCATTGTTGCTCAGAGACTCTCATCCAGCCTGAATCATTACAGTCGCTGCTGAGCATTGCATACTTTTTCCCCAATTACTGGGCCACCGCTGCTTTGGAGCTGTTGAGATAAATTACATTTCTCAAGAGCACCGGAGAGTGTTCACATGCAACTTTCATCCATGACCTGCAAGTCTATTGCTTTTGAATTATTCAGCTGCTCTGCCACGAGTGTCATTCCAAGGCGCTGTCGATATTTATAGAGCTGGCTGGATAAGGCACACTGAGCTCACACTCCTGACCCTGAACTGTCTTCTGCTCAAAGGCATGAGAGGTCTCGTATGCTACTGAAAGACCTTCCCATCTGTTGCACTTGCCAGCCCAGAGTCCAGTTGTTGACTCTTTCACAAGCTGCTTGTTCTCTCTCTTTGTCTCTTAATCGACCTTTTTTGTCCATCCGCTCTAGACGCTGAACAAGAACAACCTCCTGCCAGACGAAAGAACCAACTTCTTCCCTTCGCCGCTCCAACAGACGAACGTCTATACCACCACGTACTACCCCACAGCCCTGGGTAAATATGACTACCGGCCCGACTCCTCCCCCTCGCCCTGCAGAACCTACAACCACAGCTGAGACTTTTGTCTGCAGCTCAATGGCCATGGGGAGAACTGACACTCTGAAGCTTTTTTTTCCCAAACTCTTACTATGAGCATCTCCCATGCTCCCTCAGCACCCGATGAGCAGAGGTGCTCTTCTGGAACATTCCGCCTGACCCCTTGCACTGGGAGGATCTGAGCATGTTGTTGAAATCATGATTAACAGTTTCTGATGGAAAAAGGGCCAAGTACAAGGACCAAGTACAGCATTTCATGTGGTACTCTTTCCCAAGGAATGCCTAAGATTGTGTAGCTACACTGATGTCAATGTGAACTCAAATCACCACCTTTCTCTGTGGAACTCTTAACTGAAGAGAGTTTCGGATGTGGGGAAATGACACAGGCTTCTCTTTAGGATGATACCCAGCTCTTTAGCTTCTCACATCTTATTCCAACTGCAGCAGTTACAAGACTCTACACTTGGAAACTATTGTGTCCTTGTTACTGCGCCAAGAAAATGGACAAAAAGAAACATGGTTAAAGAAAGGGATCGATGCTTAACCTATTAGGTCTGCTTTTATTGAGCAAGCTTGTGTTATCACTGGACGCAAATGTAACAAGACCCAAGAAGTTCCTCGTACAAGCCGGAGGAATAGAGCTCTCAGAAGACAAGCTACAGCTAAAGCAGTAATGCACTGTTATTGAGATATGCAGAACCTGAAACCATATACTATATGGGCAACACTGAACCTAATTGGTTAGACAAAGTCTGCAAGCAAGCTACCATAAAAAAGCAGAGGATACAGCCCAAATGTGACTCTGTAGAGTTTGGAGGAGGAGCAATAGGAATGCCATTGATGCCTGTGTGCTATAGAGTCCACTACAACCCTCCACTATACTCTGTTGTCAGCTCTCGGATGGAGTATGTTTGGATCTCATATGAACATGTTCTACTGAATACTGTACGCCTTGGTGGTTGTATCAAATATGACGAGCTTGGACCAAGGTGGACTATATTTTAATATGAAACATTGTAGAATATACTGATAGCTTGGCACTTGTTTTTTTAAAGAATATTTTAAAGAGGGACTTATTTGACAGTTGTTTTGAAATGAAGTAGGCTAGATGGATGTTAGGGTTTTATTTAAAGTAAAGAATTCAAGGAGTGATGGGGGTGTACTGATCGTGGTCATTTTTCCTCATATTTAGATACATATTTTCTACTGTTTAGAGCAGTTATATTATTAATCATCATTATTTTCAAAATATGGGGTAAGTTATACATCATTAACTATCAAATATTCATGAATCGTCCTTACAGCGGCAAATCAAAGGTTCCCAGTCTTAATCAGAAATAACAAAGCTTTTTTTCCACAGTAATTTGACTGTGTGTGTGCGTGTGTCTGTGTGTGTGTGTTAAAATAAGAAAGAACAGGATCATATTTTGTACAACAGAAAAATAACTGATGGGATCATAAAAAAGGGAATGCACATTTTTTCCATTCTTATATTTATCCCGTCAAGGTTGTATTCAGCACCTGATGCACTGTTCTGTGCTCCATATTCCATGCACAAACATCATCACAGAGTGAAAAGGATATGGCGATTCTCACTGAGGTATGATATTATTTATAGTAAGCTTGGTTTGTAAAGGGCATTGAAGAACTAAGCTATTTTTATTATGCTTGTCAAATGAATGCTGTCAGTGGTGCTTTTTAGTTAAGCTCAGCACGAGTGCTTGATTTGTACACAGGTAATGCCCCACTATGACACATAAAGGTTAGTGTAATGTACATGTATATTGTAAAGCTAACACTGTTTGTTTTTTAAAGCCTTATAGTTGTAAAATAATATGTGCAGCAGCTGTGTATATACCAACTTTAGGGACAGTGTGGGGATGGAGCTTGTCATTGAGTCTAGTGCTTCTCCTCTGTAGCAGCAGAAGAGCCAAACTTTTCCAGCATTATGCTATATCAGTGAAAGACTTGATCTAAACTCATTTAAAATGATATTCCTGGTGGAATCGGATGCTAAACATCAGTGTGGTGATGTATTTTGGACATTTTAAACAAGTACTGTCCAAAAGTCAGAGACCTTCATTTATTTAATTTACAGTCAAAACAGCCATTAAATACTCAAGTTACTCATTTTTAAGGAGATATTTCTGAGGAGATTAGATATAAGATAATCCACTTGCATAAGAAAGATGAAAGTCAAATAAAAAAACACAAGGTTCCAAAAAATTAATAAAAGATATAAAGAAAATTGGACTCCTAATAACTGTCTAAGACCTGGTAGACTATCAAAACTGTCACTATCAGATAAACAGTACTTAAAGCTTTCATCTTTGAGAGAAAGGAGAAAATCAAGCTCCACAGCTGTTTCTGTCTATCCTTCCACTGTGAGAAGACGACTGAACACTATGAGTATGAAAGGATGTGTAGCTGTCAAGAAGCCCTTACTGACAAAAGAAAATGACAACAAGCAGACAAAAGAAATCTGATGTTCTCAAAACAATGGACTGACCACCCCAGAGTCCAGACCTCAACATCATTAAGTGTATGTGATGAGTTGGATCATGAGATGCTGAAAATGCAACCAACTTTTAAGACTGAACTTTGTTGTGTAATGGCTGTTTTGACTGGAAATTAATTATAAGATTTGCATGGTACTGTACATCATGTCTTACCTGTATAAAATTAAATGTTGAACACACACTATTGTCTAAAGGTTTGTAGACACCCGCTCATCTATTTTTTCTGCTGAAAACAAGGGTATTTATAGATTTTGTCCCTCTAGAGCATCCTATTCTATTAGCACTGCTCTTCTCTAGAGATTGTACAAGCTGTTTGTGCAATTTAATGCCTGTGTCAGCAATGAGTGCATCTCAAAGTAGCTGATTTCACTAATTAGAAGAGTATCTGGATACTTTTGGACATGTAATGTATGATAATGTAATGGCATTTATACATTCATACCTAATTATCCACCTATTGTGATGGTATTGTATTACCAAGTGCCTGCTGCAATTACTGAAAAAGATCCCCAATCTACTAAATCCTATAAAAGTCAACTACAGTGTTATTTTGCGGATGCATAACAAGGCCTGGAGTGCTCTGTGATTTCAATTTAACACCTCCGCTGTGAGGCTCAGCAGCATATCTCATTTACCAAGGCATGGTATTTACCTTCCTGTTTAACAAGACGAAATTAGCGGCCTCACTATTTCTGTTCGGAGTATGACAACCATTCCCCTACAAGCTAAATATGAAAGAACACAACCCGCTTATCCAGAGCTCCCTGAAGCGTAGAAAATCCCTCTTGTCTGTCCTGTATGTCAGATCTGTTTAGACATGTTTGCTGAGAGTGGCCGTTTCTTATTATTCCCACCCTGCCCCAAGGAGTTCTGCCGTTGGACAGAGAATGAGCCAGATGACGAAATGAGTCGCTCCATCCCCGCAAGGCTTGGTGCCCTTCTATGCAACTGACCTGGTGGTACTGTTAGATATGTGATGTAGACTGTAATCACTGCCTTTTAGACACTGTGAATTTTTTGGTACTCTATATTTTTGTATATTGTACATTGTAAAAGATAATAAACCATGATGCCAACTCAGACTAACGTTAGCACACTCGTCCTTTCCGGCTCATTCCTACACCCTTTCAGTCTATTTTACTTTGTCACCCTGACTGTCAAAGGTGGGGCTTTTCAAACTGGTAATCTGTCAGAATCTGAGTCTTTGTCATGTTTCTGTATCCAGTTTCAGCCTGGCTATCACATAGCCCCATTTGTTTGTGCTGGAATTTGCTTGCTTAGCTACACTGACTTGAAGGATATCAGACTCCAGTGCTGACAAGACATACAGATCTGCCATATTCCCCCAGTGACAAAGGAGCCCTCCTAAGGAACAAATGGATGTTAGGCTTTGCATGCTCCTGTGTGTCCTGTTCCATCTGCGGCTGGTAGGCATCATTCTTAAAACCTCCAGCTTCCTCACAGCATGTTCATTCCACAATGTCTGTGCACAGATATTAAAGCAGGCATCGCAGTGCGAGATTTATTTACACTGGGCATAATCTCAGTGCCCAAAATCTTGTGCGAACTCACGCAATTGAAATTCTGTGCAAGTGTCAGTGTCAGAGACTGTTCATGGTAGCAGAGTATGTTGAGGTGTAATGGGCCTGGAGGTAAAAGCAAAGTAGTTATAGGTTCAGGCCTGCCCTTAAAGGAATGGTTTTGTAAAATAGCAAATTTACACTGTTTTATCTTCACCTCAGATACAGTGAATGGAATTTTCCCCTTACTCCAAATGTAGTCAATTATACAGTTATACGAGGCTTATGTAGTTAACAAATAAAATTAATGTCACCCAATGTCCATTACAGTAGCCTTGTAGCTGCTGTGCAAAAGTAAAGAAGCAAACTTCAGACACCAAACATGTCTTGGCTGACTGACTACATTGGGAGTAAGAGGAAGATTGTATACATTTACGTACAACCTTTTTCCGCCTGTTTTAGAGGCCCCTCCGATTTTGCACTATGCATTTTTTTTCTCTTTGAAAATGCTGTATTCCTATTTTTCAACAGAAATATGTTTAATTTCTGAACTAGGAAGCAAACTGGATTTTCATTGTTGTAGATGAGCAAGCAAGTTTGTTTAAGATTATGAAAGCTGTAGCCATGCTGTTCATTTTATCTCTGCACACCCATCCTTGTGGAGAGCTGTGAATTGTTTTTCACAGCAGGAGGTTTTCATCCCTTCCCTTTCAGCCCTTACTGCTCACTAGCAGCTCAACACAGTCACAGTTCATATACAGAAAGCCAACAGTGCTCTGGTTAAATCTGATAAGAGTTATGAGTAATTGTTTTATTTGATTTTCCATTCCACTGGCAGAATGGCAACTAGGTGGCCTGTAGAACGAGGATTTTTGACCAAAAGTATTTGTAGGCATAAAATGTTTCAATTTAGGCCTTTATGATCAAATTAACTTTTCTTGTTATGAACTGCAAAGTGATATAGCCATCTGTTTATACAAATAATGCAATATGGAATTTTACCTTTCATAAAAACACCTTGTTGTGGTTAATACTGACAACAATGTCTGATAATAGTTCATACTGATCCACTCTATATTCCATATCGTTGCTGTCCATAGAAAAATAGTAACTTTACAGGAGAGGGCAAAAACATTCTTTACGTAAAATGTAAGTTAATGTAAAAAGATTTTATTCCAAGTAATTGGTCTGTTCTTCATGGAATTTTCACTCAATGTAAAGGGTATCTGCTGAACTCAAATGATGTAGAAAAATAAAAATCACAAAAATTGGATATACTTCTTTCTTTGTTTGCTGTTTTTTTGGACAGCAGTGATATATGAAATGCAGTGTATGTAAGGGTAAAACTCTCTAAAAATGGATCACTGAGTAATTTTGCATAACTAAATCAGACAAGCCGATTATTGTAAACATTTAAATTTGAGTGTTAATATTTCATCATTTGCATGTTCTCCCCGTGTCTGCGTGGGTTTCCTCCAGGTACTCCGGTTTCCTCCCACAGTCTGGACTCTGATACAGGAACTAGAATGGCAGAGTTAGATTCACCTTAGTGCTCCATAAAACCCCAATGAAAGTGCTCGGTTCAGTGTCTTTTCTTCAGTGAGGAACATGAGGATGAGGAGCAAGTGAGAGTGGAGCAAATACAGGTGGGTATCGATCAGGACTCCTACGCAGACATGATGCATCACGAAACCGGTCTAATTGATCTTTCTCGTAGACTTTGATTGTAAGAGCTGAACGTGCTGTCATTGCCCAGACTGAGATAGGCCTGATGTTCCAGCTCTGATCTGTGCTTTTGTTCCAATCTATGTGGACACCAAGCTGATTTGTATAGATCAATAGCTTTTCAGCTCAAAGATAAGAGCTCAGTCTCATGTTCCAGTGCTGTGGGCTATTCTGAAATATCTTGCCACAGTAACGGTGTTAATTTGTACTAACCATATTTTCTGCTCATATACTACATGAGAAAGCTTCTGTAATACCTGATCCCACCTGTAGTCCTTGCTGAGCTCAGGCTGAAGGCAGCAGGGAGTGGAGCTCCCCTGCTGGTTCTCTCTGCTGTGGTTCAGCGGGGGTTCTGGCTGTGTGTGGAGGGTGGAGGAGCGGTGCCAGGATGCTCTGACTCAGGTGCTGCATGGTCCACTCTGCTGCAATCATTCAGAAGTGCTCAAAGTGGGTTTTATTGATGAGCATGGGGTCGCATCAATCAGCTGCTATCTGCTGACGGACTGGCACTGACTGATCACTGCCGCTGTCCAGCTGGCCCTGTGCCAGCACAGATCTGTATCCGGGAGGAGACGGAGCTGCAGGCCCAGCTGAGACAGGCAGAGCAGGGATGGAGATGGAGGAACATTTCAAGCTCAGAATTCTTCACTGTTGTTTGTCAGTAGAGGTTGAGGAACAGTTCTAGATTTTGATGTTTTTCTCTCCTTGCACTCTTTGAAGGCCCACATCCTATGTTTTCCTGGGATATTAATTTTAATAATACTTATTTTTTTTCTCTACTTGTTATGTTTTTTTCCTTCTACTAAAGGTTTTTACTGTCCAAAAACACATGTCCCAAAAATGGCAGCCTTACAGAAGGCAAAAAACTTTCTTTACTTTTTAAATGTAATCAAACGTAAAGATATTCTATTCCAAGCAATTTTGAAGCATTTCTACTGGTCCATTCAACATAAAATATTCAGACAATGTAGGCAGCTGCTGTGCTTAAATGATGTAGGAAAAAACTGATACTTTTTTTATGAAGCACGTTATGTAAATTTATGTACCAAAAACGAACAGAATTGTTTTTCATATCATTTCAAACTCTCATTTTCCAACCTCTCTTCATCCCTTGGAGACATTTTTTTTTACTGTGCCTTTAAAAATTACATGCAAATGACCAGTGCTGTTTGAGCTGAAACACACAACGTGAAGGGGCAGATTAACCTGCTGTAGACCAAATAAGTGGATATTTTAAAAGCATTGGTTTTTTGTGACATCACAAAAATGATGAACTCAAAACAGGCTGTTTTGCAGTTCAATTCCTACATACAATCAACTTTAACAATGTTTATATCCGGCATCGAACTTTTGTATTTAGTACTGTTTTCCACTACATGGTTTCATTAAGGTAAGGCTCCTAAATGCTTGTTGGTTTAGACATGTGGTTCTAGGGGGAAAAAAACCTTTAACTGACGTAGAATTGATATAGAATATTTACATAATATTGAGGTTCTTCATCTTTATTATTCACTGCTTCTTATTTGCTACCATTTTTTCTTTGACTGATCACAATCAAAAATACAGGCCAAATCTACATCACCACTCTACACTCCAAAACAAATGGTTGTGTATACTAATACAGCCATATTCATATCTGATAAGATGTCTGATTTATTGCCTTCTATGAGTTCAGAGGATCAATCATAACATTAACAGTCTGTGTTAAGCAGTCTCACAGTCATGCCCTGCCATTTCATATTAAATTCATTGTGCATAACCAAAGACCCATTGCCACAGAAGCTTATATCCATGGCCTGTAGCATGATCTGGTTCCCCTTTTGTAATTACTTTCGATCCCGTTGTCTACTTGAGTTGGAAGACTGTGTGGGCAATGGAAAGCATCTGATCAGCAATATGCTCTGGCACGCTTTGCGATGTTCATGAACAAAGCTCATCCTGTTTTTGATGCTTAGATTCCAGAGGGAGTTGGTAAGAAGTGTGTGTGCATGTTTACAAGACAAGCAGATCACACAGTTTCACAACTCAAAAGAGGAAATAGCTTTCGTTTAAGTCTCTCTATTACATTCTTCTGTGCAAGAAAAATAAGAGCCACAACATAACAGATGCTTGGAAGTGACTGGCATCATAGCCTGACAAGTAGTAATTGGGTTTCACTGTTGGGAAGAAAAGTTATTAAAGTGTAAGAATCTTTCTGAAGAGCTGTAAGGCGCACTGTACTGGTGTAAACTAAAAGTATAACTGGGACATGACTTTGTAGCTGATGTAGAGAAAGTGTGTTAGCGTATTGAATAAATGTGTTCTATGGTATTATCTCTGGCTGAGACAGAAAGATAGTACAGAGAACCATGAACTTGTCTTTCCTACCAAGGAGAAAAGAACAGCTTAACAACAACTGGCTGTAAGCTTAGCCACAAAATGTTTAGCATTGCACACTAAAACACAAAAAGAGACCATATCTGCATTTTCAGCGTTTTTTTTCTGTGAAATCTGCCAATAAAGTTTGTTGGAGTTATGTGCCAAAAAATAATCAAAATACTTTTGTCTATTATCTTTTTCCAGCATCTCTTTAGAAATGCCTCTCTAAAGATCTCCCTTAGAAACAAGCAGTTTTTGTTTCTTTATCTTCAGGACTGATATATGTAAAAAGACGTATGGAAGGTGCGAAATACAACTAAATACTACTAAATAACCTCTTGGACCCCCAAATGTTTCAAAATTCAAATTCTGGGGGGTCCCTGAAAATAAACTGATTATGATATTATGTTGTTCAGGGAAAAACAGATGCTCAAATACAAATTCAGGGAAAGCTCATTGTTTAACTGCTTTACCTACAA